AGGTTTATAACAAAATTTACAAAAAATTAAAAGGGTAAATGTTTAATAATAATAATAATAATAATAATAATAATAATATATCCTCTGTTCTCATTTATCTGAGTAAAGTCATTTTTTTTTTGACCCCCTTTCATTTTGACATCTTCTCATCAATAATAATATGTTTGTTTGTTTGTTTTCCTGTTGTTGTTACAATTTATCTAAATAATAATAATAATAATAATAATCTACCGATGTTTAACTTTTTTAGATAATAAAATAAATAGAATAATCTTTCAATGTCTACACCAATTGCCAAGGTCTTTTTTTTTTTTCTACAGCCTAATTTTATAAATTTTAATATTGCAAATGTCTGTTTTAAAATTACATCCTTTATTAATAAAAAAAATAGTAATAGTAATAATAATAATAATAATCAAGAATGAAATTTTAAACCGATTTGTTTAAAAGTAGAAGAGATGAAATAAAGATTTAAATAAAATAATTTTTTGTCATTCAAAAGTTTTACATTATTAATTTTATTTATATTTACATTTTAAACTGTTGCTGTTGCTGTTGTCATTTTTTTTAGTTATGATATTTTTTTTGTTTTTAATAGGAAGCAAAATGTGGATATGTAATATGTGTAATGGCTCTCTATTGGGTATCAGAAGCGCTACCACTTCCGATCACTTCGATTATACCAATCGTACTTTTTCCAGTTTTTGGTATTTTATCCACAGAAGAAGTTTCAATGGTATATTTCAAAGAGACAAATGTCATGTTTTTAGGTAATAAAAAAAAATTCATCTATTGTTTGTTCCATCATTTTGTTTAAAAAACAATATTTAAATTACTGTTATGGATCTCGTTCTCGAGGAATTCGGTTTTGCTGATTTGCAGTATGGTCGCAGTTGACTTGGATATTTAATATAATAAATAGACAAATTCTATCTTATACATTATATTAACCAAAAATACTACTTGTTACACTACTTTATCAGTAAAAACACTAAACACAATACAAGTGGAAGTAGAATGTGATGCTCTTGAATCCAACCTAAGATGCACTGACTGACGGACTGATGTCGAAAGACCAAGACGTGGTGCTGAAGCCCACTATTTATATGAAGACCAAAACAATAGCTAGTCATTATTCATTCACTAGCACTTGAGATTAGATAAGAAAAGCGAAGCTTCCAGACATGCTGACTTTGCGTCTACTGTGTGAATGGAGTCACTATTCTCATTCACTTATCAAAATATATCACATTTCGTTGGGATCACAACACCTTCCCC